TTTTTTTGGCCATTATTAACGAGACAAACGTGATAGGGCTCATCTGCAGTGCTTGGTTGAGAAAGATTTCAAGAGAATAGGTGCAAGTATTTGCTCTCAGCCTATGGCATAGGTCTCCTGTGTGTGTTGGTCTGAGCAGAGGGCTGTGGGGACTCCAGTGCTGCCCTGCAGATCCCAGTTTGCACAGCAGCAAACTCTTGACGCAAGAGGCACAGGAGAGAGGAGCTGCTGCTTTTTATAGCCCTTTGCCAGGGAAGTGATTTCATTGTGGAAGATGAATGCAGTGAGGAGCAGGAGGTGCTGGAAGGAACATACCCTTTCTTGGACTGAAAGCATCACTGGCTATTAATAACTGCTGGGTTTCTATGGAAGATGCTCAACAAGGGCCTGTGCCCTCAGCTGGGGTTTGTTCACGTGTTGCAGACTAATGCACAAAGCCCTGATGTTTATATCCATTTTAATATCTCATATTTAAATAGCTTGGCTCCTTACTCCAAGAAGGACCTTGAGGGGCTGGAGTGTGGGCAGAGAAGGGCAACGGAGCTGCTGGGGCAGGGTCTAGAGCCCAAGTGTGGGGAGGAGCAGCTGAGGGAGCTGGGGGTGCTGAGCCTGGAGCAAAGGAGGCTCAGGGGAGACCTTCTGGCTCTGCACAGCTCCTGACAGGAGCCTGGAGCCAGGGGGGGGTCGGGCTCTGCTCCCAAGGGACAAGGGACAGGACAAGAGGAAAGGGCCTCAAGTTGCCCCAGGGGAGGTTGAGGTTGTCCCTGAGGAACAATTTCTTGCCCTGGAGGGCTGCCCAGGGCTGTGCCAGGCTGCCCAGGGCAGTGGTGGAGTCCCCACCCCTGGAGGGGTTTCCAAGCCGTGGAGATGTGGGGTGAGGGACACGGGGCAGTGGGGACCTGGCAGTGCTGACAGTTGAACTTGATGATCTTAAAGGTCTCTTCCCACCAAAACAATTCTATGATTCTAACTCCTGGACTCTATGCTGGTCCCTGTGCTCTGCTGTCTCCTACATATGGCCACGAGCTGCTTTTCCCCTCTCCTCAGGCTGTTCCTCCACAAACCCCAGGGGAGACAGGACTCATTTCAACACCAGAAACCCCAGCAAGTCACCCACGAGTGCTCGGTGCCAACCAAAGCTTTACACCCACTTGCCAAAACACAGTGTGGATTTGCCAAGCTGGGACAAGGGTCCTGCAGCTGATTTTTCTTCCTGGAGCTGTGGTGCTGCCTGGTGCTCCACAGTAAGGGCTTGCCCTGAAAAGAACCCATTTCCTTTCTCCTCTAGTGTGGAGATCACTGAGGACAAGGAACCACTGGCACGGACAAAACAGGCTCCAGATGTGGTGCTGAGGGACATGGTTTAGTGGTGACCTGGCAGTGATGGGTTAAGGGAGCAACTGCTTTGGAAATTAAAACTGGATGAAGAAATAAATTGTATAATTCTATTTGTTTCCATGTAAACTGAACTAGTCTGGATTTGTGTGGGTAAATCACTATGTTTTAAGAAGGGAAGTGAAGTGATGTTCCTCCTCTGCAGTGCTGGGGCAGATCTGGAGTCCTCAGCACAGCAGAGCCAGGGACCTGCTGGAGCGGGGCCAGAGGAGCCCCAGCAATGCCCCGAGGGGGGAACCCCTCTGCTGGGAGCCCAGCAGGAGAGAGTTGGGCTGGGGCAGCCCCAGAGGAGAAGGCTCCAGCTGGGGA